ACCATGCTCGGTTCTTCAATAAGAATTTGAAATTGCACCAAAATCTGCATTTCCTTGGCCTCTACGACTCTAATTTGTACCACAGCCATAGTACCTACGATTTGCCTTCAAATTTGGCAACACAAACTCAGAGAAGAAGGAAAACTAAGGAGAAAGAGGGACATCTGTTGACTCACTCTTCACTCCTCCATTCATTGTATTAACTGATAGCTGCATGTGCCGGCCTATGCTAAGCGCTGGAGACAGAGCAGACGCTAAGCACAGTACCCACTGTTCTCCAGGAGGTTACGATTAAGTGGAGGAGGCACGTAACTGGAGAAGAAAGGACAGTACGTGTGTGTATCGGTATAATCTGATGAGAGTGAGCTCAGGCTTTCAAACTGAATGCACAACGCAGAGGACTGAGAAGACACTTGAAGACACGGTAAGGGGGCACAAGAGGAAGGAGGAGAAGGGAGGAGACGCACAGGGAGGTGACCGTCTGACTCCTTAGGCACTGTGGAAGCCGTAGATACATCTAGGTTGTTACAAGGAAGACCTTAAGAGGTTAAGAAACCCTGGGTGCCCATAGGCTTTACCTTCCTGCGCAACTGTTACAATGATTCCCGCCTGCTACTTGTTCTGATCCTACCTTGTATTCACTTCTATATGCCTATGGTCCTATTATGCTACAGTGTTACCTTTCTGCTCTAAATACAACCTTGGGAGCTCAAATGTACTCAGCAGTTCCTGCCCGAGGCCTCCCAACCTCATTATTGTATCCATTGTGTATCACCTAGTGCAGTAGCATCTTTGTGTTTCCCTACTAAGTACATTATAAATCATTTCCTTTTATTCCATATTTATTTATTTAGGACACATTATTTTAAAAAGTTAAGTCTGTGGTAATTATTGGCTACTAATTTCATTTCAGGCTCCTAAAAGAAGTGTCTTATTTCTTACAAATGTTTTTTATAAGGGTTCTGACCAGGGTTCTGACCTGGTCAGGTTGAGAGTTACAAATTTAGATCTGTGTCTACACAAAGGGTGAGTTCAGCCCAATCCAAAATGAGCACTGGTTTGTTTCATATCAACTGTACAAAACTAGAACAAGTATGGTAAAATTCCAAAACTTGAAAACAGTATGAGGAAAATAACGTCCCCCAAATAACGCAAAATACTCAAGACAACTCTCTTAGAGCTGACCTATGAACGAAAAACTAATCAAAAGAGCTTCTTCGTTAATGGGAAAAGAATTATGAAAATTAAAATTAGAATGCTCAGACTGGCTCTGAAAATAATACAGGTGAAAGAAGTATATTTAGCTACTAGAGTTTCTCCAGCAACTGTATAAAAATAAGCACATTTCAGGTTAACAAAATGAATATTAACTGCTGATCTTGGAAGAAATGTATTACAGCAAATTGATTTCTCACTAGAAAATGTCTTGGGAGCTATTCAAACCTTCCGGTATTGTGTCCACCACTCTTAACAATACTGCTCGCAGCTGTCTCCCCGAATACGAGAGCATGTCTGTCCTTGTGGCACAAGCTGGCAAATTTAATTAAGCTGCTGCAGCAACAAGATGCTGACTCAGACATGCCAGAGTAGGAATGTCAAGAAACCCTAGCGCTTAAATTGGCTACATTCTGTGAAGAACGAGATGGCAGCACATCAAGATCATTTCCGAGTGCAGTGCTGTCAAAATCTTCAGGAGAGTACAAACCGAAAGCACCTGACAGGCTTCCTCTATCCACACTTACAGCATTATATCTTATTTCAGTTGATAGTTTGAAGTTTCCTCCCATCTTTTTGTCAGCTACCCATTCTCCTTTATTTTACTGAGAGATTTTATGGGAAAAGGCAGAATCCGAAATCATTAGTTTCCTGTACTTTAAGTCTGCTGCTTTGGTAGCGTCTCTAAAGGCAGCACTTGGAAATCATACTTCTGGCCTCCATACTGACTTTCCATGTACTTCCTGAGTTTGATTTACTTTTCTATAATGACTGGGTTACAAATTCAGCTTCCACTTAAAGCTACTTTTCTCCTTGCTGGCTTAAAACTCAGTTATAAGTACTTGCAACCAGGATCTTTAATCCTCAATAAAGGCAAACGTTCACAGTGGTTACTTCTGTATGAGTGCTTCACAAGGCATTTTAATTCTGTTTCTTATGTAACCTTTCTCAATATTTTATAATGAATCTAATTCATTTTTGCTGCTTTACAGCAAAAAATCACCGTATTAACTTACTATTTTAGTCACATGTAAAAGTACAGTTTCAGCGGTTCTTTCATAAACATATATGGAGTATGGAGAGTAAAAGGAAAACTTTTCATGTTGGAATTAAGAGTAAAGCCAGGTGTGGTGGTGCACACCTGCAATTCCAGCGCTCAGGAGGCTGAAGCAGGAGGGTAACACTGAGTTCAAGGCCAGCCTGAACTACATAGCAAGACCCTGTCGTAAACCTCCCCCTCTAAAAAAAGGGAAGCCTTTTTGTGACAAGGATTGAATAAAAGCTGCCTATTGTTAAATGCGGCGTGATTAAAGGTCTCAATATTTTACAACATGCCAGAGAATATATATAAAATGAAAAATTAGAGCTAATAAAATTTTTATATTCTTTCTGGTATTTCCACCAAATAAACCGTTGTAAATTAGTTGCAGAGTCTGAAAATTCACCTCTTACTATAACAATGCTTAATAAAACTATGGCTAGGGAAAAAAAGTCTAGAAAAACCTATCAATTCCTTGTGCCTTTATGTTTTTCTATATAAAAAGGTAAACTATGCCAGTCAATCATTATGTGCTGTATAGAATTCTAGAGAAAAACACGCAAATTCTAAGGGGAGAAAAAGGACTTTGGGAGTCTGTCATTCCTAACTGCCAGGCAAGTGTCCTCCACTCCCCACCTTTTTTTTTTTTTTTTTTTTGGTAGGACTGGGGATTGAATTCAGGACTTCTGCACTGAACTTCATCCTGAGCCCCACTTGTTTACTTATTTTCTTTTGAGACAGGGTCATGCTCGCAAACTTGAAACTCTCCAGCCTCAGTCTGCCTGAATGACGGGGTCGACGGGGGCACCAGCACGCACTCTCCGTCCTCTGCCTTGTACAAAGCGAGGCTATCACCCATACCTGTGTTATGCTGAACAAAACTGACCTGACAGTCACTAACATTTCTAAGAAGCAATGGAATGATGAACAAAATCACTATTAAAATATTTTACTGAAATATAAATGAGATAAAAGTTCAAAAGTGCTAAGATTTTTAATAAAAGCTAAAGATGTAGAGTCCCCAAATCCCAGGATACAATTTGATAGGCATTCTCTGAATCAAAATAAACACAGGCAATTCTTTACTTGGTAAATTTTATGAAATTATCTCTAAGAAATGACATGAATTGAAACACAGGATATTTTTAAATAAATAGATGCACGTACCTAAAGGGTCTATCAACTTTCTAAAGCTGACAAGAGTGAAGACATGAAAATTGTGCTGTCTTATGAATGTCTGTAATAACAATCTGGCAATACTTATCAAAATAAATATGCACATCCCTTCCATTTACAAGAATTTGCCATATTTATACAAATGCATGTATAAAAAGATGCTGTAATAATAAATAAATGGAAATGAGCAAAATGAGCATCAATAAGTCACTTAAAAATTATATATGTATGGATAGAATATGAAACAGCTACTGAAAAGAAAGAGGTCAAACTATATGTACTAAGTTAAGAACATTACCATGACACATCAGGAGGAGAGCAAGTACAACATAGGCTACTGTGTGCATAGTATGCACCCTTTGGATTAAAAAAAAGGGGCATTTTTTTAACTTGAAATATAGTCTTTTAATTTTTACAGTACAGTGTACAGTATGACATTTCAAAATAAAAGTGTAGGTACAGGATAAGAGTATAAATGGGAGTTAACAAGAGATGTTAGAATGGTTACCTTTATCTTAATAAAGTAGGCTAAATCCCTGGTTTGTATTTTCTACACACATTCATAAAACTACATTCAAGTCATTCCTTATCAATACTTATTCCTTAGGCCATGAGAAAAGGAAAAAAATCCAGACATTAATTTTCATAGAAAGCACATCTGGATTCATCTAAATACTATATTCTTCCATTTGTTCTGACCCAGGAAAATTTAGGAAATGAAGCCACTTCCTTATTTAGATTTCTTCAGCACGTCTCATTAACTACTGGAGTAAGTGGTGAAGACCTCCTTGACACTGCAGTTTCCAAGCGGAACCACAGAGGGACAGGAAGTAGAACTGGCCAGAGAAGCTGCCCCTACAGCATATATACAGATGTATAGCAGGGCTTTTTCCCGTATTTGGAAGTCAGCACAACCCAAGCTTTCACTTTCCGTAGGGACTGTGTTGAACAGAAGCACATTTGTATCAGTAGGATTTACAAACCGAGACATAACCATTTCTGTCCAAGAAGGGGCATATTAATGCCTGCGTGCATTATGACACACACGCACCTATTATAAGCTAAATGAACTCCACAGACACATCCTTAATCCTCTGAGGTTCTCATTTAAAAGGTCGGGTCGAGAGGGCAAAGTATTTCTAAGGTACTCAAGGGAATCTGATGGTTGGCCATTAGGAGAAGCAAAGGTAAAGATGGCAAAAGATCTGAGAAACAGCATAGTAACCAGAATACTAGGAAAGAAAGTAGGAGGGAGGCAGCGCCTAGTCCAGTGCTCACTGACGCCCACTACAGGAGCAGTTTCAGTATAGCAGTGAGGGTGGAAACTACATTAGAGTGGGATGTTCAGTTAAAAAAAAGCACCATGGCTATGCGGTGAATGAAGCTTTTGACCCTGTGTTTTACTCCATTCTGTCTGGCTATTTCTTGATTGGGAGGTTAGAGCCATTTACACTTAAAGTAATTACTGATAGAGAAGGAGTCACCAACGTTTTTTTTTTTTGGTACTGGGAATTAACTCAAGACCTTGAGCTTGCCAGGCAGGTGCTGTGCCGCTGAGCCATCTCCCAGCCCCCAGGACTCACTATTTTGTTAAATGTTCTCTGTATGTCTTGCAGCTTTTTTTTTTGCTCATTGCCTCCCAGTATGCGTATACCAGTCTTTAAAGAGGTCTAAGTACAAATAAGGAAAGACATAAGCTATTGTCTACAGTGGAATGTGGACCTCAGGGATCCTTAAAACAGGAAAAGGTGAACACATTCAGCTACTGACCAATATGACTGAAAATGGAAGAGAACAGAGAGGAGCAAGAGGTGATACTGGCAGAGAAAAAACTGAGAAGGCAGAAGAAGATGCGGAGACGGCTTCCTCCGTGGTAACAGAAGGAGGATGAACCCCCTAGGGGAGTTCCCCAATTCTGCACCTGCGGGGTTCCCAATTAATCTACAATGGAGTGAAAAGTCCATCAAATGGGAAAAGCCGCTACTACATGCAGGTGAGCGAGAAGAAGTGAAAATTATCACTGAATAGTCATTTTCACACCAGAGAGGGAAAAAAAGCTTTGGTAATCTGGCAGTATCTATTAAAATATAAAGGGCATAAACTGTATGACTAAACAATTTCCATGAATTTATCTTCAAGTTGCAAAAAAATCCCTAATATATTATTTACAACTACAAAAAGAGAGGAATACAAATATTGCACAACACAGAACTACATAAATGAATTTAAAAAATCTACACAATGAAATTATATATACCAACTGAGAAGAGTGGAGAAGATTAACCTATATACAGAGGGAAAGAAATATATACACGGAAAGAAATATATACATGGAAAGAAACAAAAAATACTGATTTTAATGAAAAAGCAAACGGTAAAACAGCTTTATAATATTCTGCCCTTTACAGGGTGATCCCATTTTGTATGTGTGGAAGGTTTTGCTCATGTGTGGAGAAAGATAAAGTGTTAATAGTAGTTTTTCTTCTATTTTCTAAGTTTCTATCATTTGAATATATAATAAAGGTAGATATAAAACTATCAGAAAAATAATTCTATATGAAAATAAAGTAAGAGTCACATGAATAAATATATTACCTGTTAGATAAAACACATAGTTCTTTTAAACTTGGAGCCATGGAATGTTCTTTATAGTTTTCTCGAGAGAAAAACGTTTTCAGGCCGGTTTTTGGGGAAATATCCCTGTGAAATAAAGTAATTTACTTGTATTGGACAATTCAGAATCTCACACTAGACAATTCTGCGTAATGGTACAATTGTAAATCATGCCCACATGCCCTTTACCCCCGTTCCTGGATGATCACATCTTCATATGTTTAATTTCATGTACCAGATCTGTGACCTGGATGTTTTATTTCCTGGGCAGCTTTAAGCTTGGGCCAATTAGGAACTCTTCCAGCTCCTACAGTCACCCTGGCTTTTCTTGTAGCATCCAATTAGGTAAACATCGGAGAGACTGGGGTTAAAGACAGAACCACCAAGTCTGGCAGAGGCAGGGCTCTCCGTTGGCTGTGGGCCATAACATTAGGATCTTCGGTAAAAAGAATCTGTTTCTCAATTTATTTTCCTTTCAAGCACTATTATGGCAAACCAAAAAACTGAATATCCCACTTTTCTTTAATTTGGCAAATGGGACAAATGGGTGCCTTTGCTAAAATCACCTCTGAAGTACTACACAATTTTTCATAAGACCATAGTAAGATGAGATGAACATGTTCTAGCCAATGCTTCCCATGTAGTAAGTACCCCAAAATGCAGGTTGAATGAGGGAATTAAAAAAACTGAAAACACTTGAGAATCATTAATCTAAGAAGGCCCACAGTTAGAACTCTGCGGGAAACCAGGTTCAAGGGTTACAACCATGTGCAAGGATTCCAAGCCACATTTGCTTTCACAATACCTGTGGTACATATATAAGAAAAATGTGCTTGACATCTGCACATACACTGTACAGTCCTAGCAAGGAACACAAATGTGCCTCTTAAAACCCACAAGAGAACACTCTAATCAAATACAACTTCTGGCTGACCCAGTACTCAAATGGGAAATTTTAGGATATTTGCTATATATTTAACTATTAATGCTCTTAGAGGTGTTTGCTATGATGAAGGCACTAATGGTAAAATTAGAATTTATTTTTTTTTATGGGCCAGTGTAAACCTTCCCCCTTTCTCGTTTTCCCATGACCCTGGAGACTGACCCTAAGGCCTCCAGCTAAACATGTACTCTGTCAAGCTACATCCTATGCTTTGCTTTTCTTTCTTTTTTTTTTTTTTTTGGTCTTTTTGAGACAGGGTCTCACTACACAATTCAGGCTGGCCTTGAGCTGATTTATGTAGCCTAGGCTGGTATCGAACTCGCAACGATCCTCCTGCCTTTCCCTCCCCAGTGCTGGGCTAACAGGTGTGCACCACCACCTCTGGCCTCCTATACTTTTCTTGAGACATAGTTTCACCAAGCTGGTGAGGCTGACCTTGAACCTGTGATCCTCCTGCTCAGTGTCTGGAAAAGCTGGCATTATAAGCATGCACCATCATGCCCAGCTTAAGGTTTTTTATTACTTTGTTATGGGCCTGTAATATCTCATTAAATTCTAAGATTTCCACATATCACTGTAAAACAAAGTCAAAGCCCTCAGGGATTGTGGGCCCCTTTGGAATGAGAGTGTTTTTGCAATAAACAGGTTATTACTGACAATACTGATTTAATAATCTTTGAGTCAGGTACCATTTTGAAAAATCTTTGTAACTTCTGTGTGACCTTTGTATTCTCCTTGGCTGGCTCAGTAAACATGTGTTAAAATGACCTAAAGCAGAAATATGTAGCAGTTAGATGCTTACAAAGCCACATTACTGAACTGGTGTCTCCATTCCAGAAGTTCTCACGCCCTTCTAAAATACAGAATACGTTCTATACACTTCTATTATCCTTTGATACAGACTGTAATACAACAAAAAGACGTGTACCTAATTTTAAAGATCTCTTTTATTACCTTTATGGAAATGGGCAAAGTTTTTAAGATACAAGAAAATCCCAGCATTTCCCCCCAGAAGGGACCAATGACATACCCAAGATGGAATCATACACTACAACTGTTCAGTGTGTGAAGATGAGAAAAGGGTAAATTCCAAGACCATGAACGTCATGTCGTTTCTTTCCAATCTCTCCACGCCAGACAGAAGCCACCTTTTCCTACTTCAACCACACGGTCCTCTTCAATGGATTAGGAGGAGACAGAACTTACCAGTTCAGCTTTGGTTCACTCATGGATACACAGGAGCTCATCCGCCTAGATTTCTGCTTCACTCTAGCACACAATTCTGTTGAAGCAGCGAAGACTTCGAGATAGGGAGGATCCCGCCAGCATCGACACACAACTGAGAAAGAGCAAAAGATCACAATCAAAAGCGAGGGACTGGCTTGGATGCGTACTAACGTAGGTAAGACAGAATGTCCACTCAATGTCAAGCCACTGTGACACCTAGAATGGAATACTGCTGACACGTGAACGTTCCCAAGGTTCTCTGCTGCTGGGCGACAGTGACGATGTGGGATGAGTCCTTTTCCATTTAACCTAGGCCACAGCGTCCGTTCTTAGGGCAGTCACTGCGGGACAACAGTGTCTCCGCAGGAACACAGAACGGTGTCCGCACCGCTTTCACACTAGGTCCTGCAGTTCATGGCAAGGCGTCTGTCTTAGCACTGCCCCGCTCCCTCACCGCCAAAATAAAGCCTGCTTGTTTCCCAGCCGCACACGGATACCGCACAGATTCTGCAGACCAGGCACGGCACCAGCTGTTGCAACATCCAGGACCTTAGACCTTCCTAAGAAAACCAACCACACGGCTGAGACTCAGGGCCAGGTTAACTCAAGTGACAAGTCCCGGACCGCTGAGCGGTGTCATCGGGGCTGCCGATCTGGCGTGGTTTCTGGGGGACAAAGTGGCTCGCGGGGCAGCAGCACCTCCGGGCACCGTGGGCCCTGCCGGGCCGGAGCCGCTCCCGCGGACGGCACGCGGACCCCGCGCGGGGCTGGGGCA